AATATCACTTTTAACTTTGTAAGATTTATAAAAATTATTCAATAAGTTGAATATTTGAGATGAATTATTGGATTTAAATATGCTAAAAATATCCATTAAAAGATTATCGAAAGGAAATAACTATTGTTTTGATACTATCAAATGCATATTTCGGTTAAGTTACTTCTAACTTACTTATTTGTCTTAGTGTTTACTCATAATAGCAGAATGAGTTTAATAAACTATTAAAACTTTAAAAGATTAATGAGAGAAAAGTATGTCAGAAACAATACAATTGGAAGATATGAAAATGCATAAGTCAATTACACGCATATTTTTGAAAATGGTTTTGCTTAATATTTAGGATACTATTATTCTTGCCTTCATATTTGCTTTGATAAATGCAACTCTAAACGCAGCTCTATTTTGGCTAAGCGCAAAAAGCAAAGCAGACAGAAAGTAAGGTCACGTCCGTTGCACAGATGTTAACAACACCCACACCAACAGGTGACAAATGTAATTACATGATTGTTCCCACACAATATGATGTCGTCAAAACGTACTTACTGCATTTTAAAAACGCTATGCAAATATTTGTGTCATTCTCATATACAAATCATTTTGTGCCAATTTTATCATGTCACTGATTCCATCGTTTTTTTTAAATCCTCGAATTATTGATTAATGTTTACTTTTATGATTTGTTTACTTTTTTAATTATTGATTAATGTTTACTATAATGGTAGAAACTTAATGAATAGCAATGCTATGTACATTATCACTTTTAATATCTTCTTAGAAAATATATAAAATTAGTACGTTCAGATCTATGCACATTGCTTGAGTATTCTGATTGTAAGCATTTTTGATCATTTTCATTGAGTGTACCAAATTTTTTGAGAATATTTTTTGAGATTGTATTTGAAGTAAAATTAGTACAAATGACAATTTTCGAAAGAATTTTCAGTGTAATTTTTTTGCTTGCATTTCTTTTGCTATTGTTTTACAGCATAATTTTTTGAAAGGTTAAAAAGCAAACAAAGAACATGACGGAAAATGCAAATGTTGAAGATTTTTTCTTGTATAGTTATGCCACTGTTTGAGTTAGCTTAGATTAATTAAAACTTTGCGGCATAAGTAAGTATGCCTGAAATGCAATGCCATATTTGTAATTAATTTCTAGTGATATAGTATTTTTTGCCATGGATCACTTATTAAAATAAAAATTAAGTATTTCTGTCACTTTACAACTGCTTTGGATTATTCGCTTTATTACAACAAAGCCAGAAGAAAATGAAGAGGAAGTTCTTATCGAAAAATTATATCAGAAAATTTAAAAAAAAGAAAAAAAGAAATTGTGAAGTCAGTTATTTTTTGCTGCTTGTAATAAAAAAGATAAGCACATATGGCTGACTTTTAGTTTTAAATGAACTAAAAGCTATGTCTGATAAAACGGATAGATTAGAGCAAAACTGCCGTTATTAAAGGAAAATAACAGTCCATTATAAATTAATAATCTCATGCTTTCGTGACAAGAAAGCTAACCTTTCGTGATGTCGAAGGCTGATCGTCGGTACCACGGCCATCACCACTACCATCTGGGCACGGTGTTGATAAAGATTGCTGCAAGCGTCCCTCAGCATTTGACACCTTTAATAAATAAATAAATAAATAAATATTCAATTCATGACACAGTCGTAATAAACTACTTTTGTCATATTTATTGAGATAGGAAATATATTTACCAAAATTCTTTAAAATTTTTACTGAAATAATCCTAGAAAATGTCAATATTATGATGAGGCACTACTTTCATATCAAGTGATAATTAACTTGGCATCGAAGATTATCCTTTTTGAAAAGTTTTAAGTGCTGTCAGCAATAAAAGATGGATAAGAAAATTAATGAAACTCAGCATAACTTCTGTGAAATTTAGACTATTAAGCCCAAACGCTTTCAACAGAAAAAAGCTTGCATTACTTTTAGTAAAATGATAATTGAAAAAATACATATATTTGCAATAATTTTTATTAGTATTAAAAAATTCAGTTAAAGCTTGTGCAGAGCTATGAAGAGGAAAACAAGTAAGAGCTTAGAATTAAGTTTGCAGCAGAGATAAGTTTTGTGCAGAAAAGCTTAGCTTCTAAGGTAGAAAGCAGATAAAAGTTAGCGTTAAAAATCTGATAAACTAAAAATGGTACGACTTTTAAAACCGATCTTAAAAAATATTCAAATCAAAAACTGCTCCATTCCAGTAACTTTGCGACCAAAAAAACTGTATCTGCAACATGTACTATGAATAAAATCTGAATTTCGCTTTAAGCATATATTTTTTGCAAAATACTGTTAATCAATAAATGTTTTCATACTTTTTTTATAAGAAAGCTAAATACTTACTTCAGTTTCACTTCAAAGAAATGCTTTTCCAGATCTTTTTTTCCCGTGATTTTTAGCATATATATGCGTTAACTGAAATCAATTTTGAAACTTTTGCGCAAAATTTCGTTTTTAGAAAAATATTTTTTATGGAAAAAAATAGTTTCAGAAACACTTCACAAGTTATAAAAGCTTCATAAGCTGTAAAGTTATAGCATTTGAATTTTCTGAATGTGTCCACTTTGTTGTATCGAAACTTGTAAGACTTACAATGATATTTTCAGATATAAAACAAAACTAAAAGACAATATATTGTGATTGAATTTGATTAGATAACGTTTTTCGGGCTTTTATTTATTCATTTATTATTATTATTATTATCATTTTCATAGCAGTAATAAGTAATATTGTTAATATTATTAAACAGTTTTTACTATTGTTGTATCATAGGATTGGTTATTTTTCTAACATTCAATATGATAATAGATAATAGTTCGATAGTTATCAGTTATAATAATAGTACCATTATTTTTTCCGACTAAACAGCAATACATCGATATATGTTGTTGATAAGAGGACACAACATCACGGAACTGTGTAAAATGAAACTAAAACAGACAATTGGTAGCAATCTTTTAGGATGGCTAAAAATTTTGCATACGCAAAAGTGTGTAAAGTCAGACAATGCAACCATAAAAAAATGCGTGCAAATGTATGCAAATATTAAGGCAACATAAGCAAGCAAAAAAGGGACGGTTTATAAGTTAGCATATAAAAAGAGACAAGAATTTGCATAGAGGTCATGAAGATGAAATGCAAGCGGTTCTATGAACAAAGTTCAGGCTAATTTTTTGGTATGTTACCCACCGTGGCTTGATGTCGGTCTCCCAAGCAGCACGGATCTTCTATTGCATTTGCTTGTCTGATGAGAGCATTACCAGTATTGTTGTTACACATGGAAGCAGCAGTAAAATGTTTCGGTTGGCAAGTAGCCCGAAATGGACTGGATCCAGTGAGATCAGCCGATGACACTGATACCATGCCAATTGCGTGTTGCTCATTGGTACCTCTCAGAGGAGGCGCAGATCGCGGTGGTGGTAGCGGAAGGGCAATTGATGGATGACGTGGAAGGACTGTGGCAGCGGAATCCATGGATTGGTACAGTCGGTTAGATTCATACAACCAAGAGGAACTCGGACTCAGACGACACTCCAAATCATCATCGTCTAGTTCATACCACAAATCGTCGGTTCTGAAAGCAATTTTTTTTAAAGCTCTGCCAACTCTATAACCTTTAACTTTTAACTTTTCTGAGGCATGACACCTTTTTCAGATTGAGTTCAGTTAGTGCTATTACCATAAAGGGGAACAAAATGCCAAAATTTTGTCTTTTTTCAAAGTAAGATGAATTTTTTTTCATAACGCTACAGATTTTTCACATTATCTTTCCAAATAGCGTTTATCTTCTCTGGATGGATTCACAGATGTGACCTATCAAAAATAATATTCATACAGTACCAGAGAAGAAAAATAATTTGAATGTTTTGAAAAATATGCATTAAAGTTAATAACTATCGTAGGCTGAATGAATGAACGAGAGATACGTGTTAGAATGTGACGTCAAGAACAAATAATAAATAGAATTGATGATAGAATTTTTTATATTATTAATAATTTCAATCACTTTTCCACATTTCTGCATTGTATTATTCTAAACGACTTTTTTCGTTAGGCAAATTCTTCTCATAACTTATCTTAATATCATTACTACAGTAACTTCTTAATATTATTACTTTCAGCACCATTTTGCTATTTAATATTATTGTTGCATAATTAGGATGAAGAATATGATGCAGAAACCAATTATTCTAGTAAAGATCTTACTTCAAATCAACTATTTACAATATATGCAACTTATAAACTTGTATTATTTAACGGAAGTCTATTTCTAATGATGTTACAACTTAAAGTGGCATTTGTAACGGATTTTGAGACTTTTGAAAATATTGTAAATAGCTGCGTTTTGTAATGACAAAAAATGCAAATGAATTGTTGAAAAATAGAAACATTGGATTTTTTATTTGACCTTTAGTTGAATGAGAAAGTTTGGTAATAAATTATGTTTGCTTGAATTCAGTGGTTTCTATTTGGATTTAATTCTTCCGTTTTTAACTGCAATTGAAAATAATTAACTTAGTGGTATCTGTAGTTGGCAGCACACAAATTAGTGTCATAAGTTCAAGCATTTACCACTATAATGTTGGCATATCTGTGGAGCAAAAAAATTTTTTGGAATGAAGCGTAGTTTTAAAAGTATTAGATGTGGAGGAAGTACTAGGTTTCCAACAGCATTTTTTGGATAATCTCGTATGTTTGGCTGAAGAGTAAAAGTAGATAACTATCAATTGCATATCAAACTTTCTTCATTTGGTTACGCTGACTTGTGCAGAACTGAAATTAGAAGTGATTCAAATAATGGATAATTAAATATAGTGAGGATAAAAATAATTGTTTTGGCTGATTTAGATTATACTAATTATCTGTCTTAGAAAACATTCAACAAACAAAATGATGCATAGAAACAGTCTTTTAAATATAATAAGAATTAAAAAATTTTAATGTAATGAGGACGAAACTAATTTTTTTTATTTTAGATTATAATGAATGTCTATCTTTAGATAATAATATTCAAAGGACAAAATGATGGATAAAAATAATATTTAAGTATAATGAGGGTTGAAAAAAATTAAATATAATAAGGATAGAAGCTATTTTTTCAATTTAATTTAGAC